ATCATGACATCATTGAGGGAATATCCAGTGGATGTTGCAGCCGAACAGTCGAACACAACCCTCAGCTTAATAGTATGCTTGCCTTCCTTCAGAACGCTGTGACGGGGAAGAAAATATTGGCACTTACCTCGCCATTTCTGCGGCACCAGAGACTGGTGACAGATTTAAGTATTCCGTGATGAGAAGAAAAAAAATTTGGATGACGATCCAGTTTACGCTCAAGCTAATAGAACCGACAGCTCCGCTCTGTGCTTGATTGGAAGACGAACCGAATATGCACCATATTTAAGACGAAGTGGGCATCACGATCGAGCTCCTCCTTAGAGGCCTTAACGATCGGAACAGTGCAGGTTTCCAGTTCCCACAACTGGCGGAGAAGATGATCCAGTCGATCGTTGCAGTCAACGCCAGCCGTGATGTGATGAACTTGTGAACCGGAATCAAGTAGCGCTCGGTAGGTAAGGAAGGCTCCTGATCGGTCACGGACGAGAATGTTGGCGGTAGCCAAGATACGGCACAGGGCACACGTAGTCGGCGGAGCACTAAGGAGATGCACGAAATGTACACGCTAAGGCCAAGTCCACAAATTCAAAACCGAGCCATAGATGGTAATTTAAGTGCATGGTTATAACAGAAAACAATAAGTTTTCGTGGCACTTTTAAACTGAACATAATAACCACGTCGGGGTAACCAAAATGTGACGCAATTAATGGTTATACCCGTGACTCGTAGAGTAAAAGGGTATATTAGATTCGTTGAAAAGTATGTAACAGGTAGAAGGAAGCGTTTACGCTCCTATAAAGTATATATATTCTTGATCAGGATCAATAGCGAAGTCGATTGAGCCATGTCCGTCTGTTCGTCCGTCTGTCCGTACGAACGCTGAGATCTCAGGAACTATAAGAGATACAAAGTTGACATTAACCATGAAGATTCTTGAGGTCCCTATGCAGCGCAAGTTTATTACAGCATCTTGCAACGCCCACTTTTAATGCCCACAAATCGAAAAAAACTAAAATCGCCGAACTATTAGAGCTTGAAAGTTGAAACTCAGTATGTATAATCTTTAGATGCCAGTGCATCTTATAGTGGTACAATTATCCGGAAACACCCACCCATACCCCACAAAGCTCAAAAGACGGTTTTCTCATTTTCAAAAAGCGATTCTCTTCCGAAGCGAACGGACGTGTTTTTTTCTACTCGCATTAACTTTGTTGGCTATTTACAAATATACGCTTAAACCGATACGAATTTCTTTGTATAAATAAAACCTTCAGCCGTTTGCCTTCCGCGCAGTGAACTAAACTGTGTAGCTTTTGTTTCTTATGTTTAAACTCTCAATTTACTTAAATTATTTTCAGATTCTCCTATTTCTCGTCTTTCGCGATAAACGGTTCCTCTCCCGCTCGCGCCTCTCTCGTGTTGGAATCTATTATTAATTATAACTAATTATGTCTCAAATTGTCTGCTACTTAAAATCTTGTAACAAAATAATTACAACTAACCAGCCGAGCGTTTTGTGTTGGCTTTGTGATAATATGGTTCAAGCCAAATGTGCCAATTTCCGTGCCACCGTATCGGACGTTTTGGCCCGAGGCGATTCCGCCTTACATTATTGCTGTGAAAGTTGTCATGTCAGACTTTCTTAAACTTAATATTCTTATCTCTGATTTTGACTGGTCCGATCTCTACGCATGCAATGATATGACTTCAGCTTTAAACATATTCTACCATGCATTAAACCTAATTTTTATATATGTGTTCCGATGAGGTACCCGTCCAGAACGGATAACCCTCCTTGGTATACCAAGGGCTTAAGCACCTTAAAAAATATAAAGTTCAGGCTTCAGAACAAATACTTAAAAACTAGAACTCCGCTTAGTTACTCTCAATACTTATTTGCTCGGGCAATCCTCTTCTCAAACTGTTTAACCTCTCGCTTGAAACGACTACGTTTCCCCTATTTGGAAGGAATCTTTCATCATTCCTTTACACAAGAAAGGGAAAACTTCGGATGCTGGTAATTATAGAGGTATCTCTAAATTATCAGCAATTCCTAAACTCTTTGAGAAAATTATTGTGCCCCATTTGCAACACCAGTGTAGATCAATAATATCTCCACATCAACATGGTTTTATGGCTCGACGGTCTACAACTACAAACTTGCTTGAATTTACTTCTTATGTCATTACTGGGTTCCGAAAAAGTCTTCAGACAGATGTCATCTACACTGACTTTAGTAAAGCATTTGACTCAGTAAATCACTCACTTTTAGTTCATAAACTTGACTTAATCGGATTCCCATGCGATCTTCTTAAGTGGGTTGAAAGTTATCTGACTGGTAGAACGCAACGTGTTTTATTTAAAGATGTCTTGTCTGGTCCGATTTATGCTTCATCCGGTGTCCCTCAGGGAAGCCATTTAGGTCCGCTATTTTTCACATTATTCATAAATGACCTTCCAATCGCTTTTTAACAAATTCTTTTATTTTAATGTACACAGATGATGTGAAACTTTGTATTCAATATAATGATGCGTGCTACCAGAGAAAACTACAATCTGACCTTAACAACTTTCAATTTTGGTGCTCTGCAAACTTACTAAATCTTAACGGCTCTAAGTGTAAAGTAATGACCTTCAGTCGCTCTAAGCCGTTAATATCCACTTATACACTTTGTGGTGTAACCCTAGATAGAATTAAGCTAGTAGACGACTTAGGTGTCCTATTGGATGCCAAACTTACATTTTCCGACCACATTTTTTCCATGGTTAACAAAGCCAGAGGTGTGTTAGGTTTTATAAAAAGATGGTCGAAAGAATTTAATGACCCTTACGTAACCAAAACTTTATTTGTCTCTCTCGTTCGTCCGATCTTAGAGTATGGATCTTGCGTCTGGAACCCCCAGTACGCGGTCCACCAAGACCGTATAGAATCAATTCAAAAAGCTTTCTCTTATTTGCTCTTCGTGGCCAAAATTGGGATGCAAACTTACATCTTCCCTCCTATAAAAGCAGACTATTACTAATAAACTTACCTACCCTTGCTAACCGTAGGACAATGCTTGGCGTTGTCTTTATTAACAATCTTATTAGTGGAGACATTGATAGTCAAGCCCTATTAGGTCGCTTAAACATCAATGTGCCCGCTAGACCCACTAGAAACTATATTCCCTTATCCTTGAGACATTGCAGCTCGAACTTTGCCCTTCATGAACCATTTAGGGTATTATGTTCGAGTTACAATACCCTCTACAACATTATATCCAATACTTCTCCTACTAACATAAAAATCGTCTTACTAAACCACTTAGCTCATATTTAATTAATTTATTTATTTAATATTCCACTCGGTACTATCCCCGTGTTCCGAGCCGTACGATAGACGGCAGCGCCCCTCGGTCGGTTGGGCGGGAGGTGGGTTGCACGTTAAGCAACGGGAGTCGCGAAAAAAAAAAAAAAAAATATCTCGGTAACTATAACACTCTTACGCCCACAAAACCCGGAAAACTGTTACGTCACTATCAGTTACTCAGCTTTCTCTGACAATAGGTGGCGCCTTGTGAATTTCCACTATCAAAATGATTATTTTAAAATTGTGTAAAACAGTAACGGGTATATTAGGCTCGGCACTCGACTATAGCGTTTCCTCTTGTTTTATTTATAATATATTTGTTGTTTGTTTCACATTTGTTTTAAATTCTACTGGTTATCATAAGCTTAAAAAAATTTAGAAGTCAAAAAAATAAAATATTTAAAATTTTAAGGGTTATATTTTTTGACACAACTTTTCGCTGTCAATATTTTCTGCTTTCGACCAGCGCACCGTTTTTTTTCTTTGTATGTTTTCATTTAATAAATTCGTAATATTCTCTAAGTTGCTTGAAAAAAATTTAACAGCCAGCTGAGCGCCAAATATTTTTTAACAATGTGACTTTGTATAGGGATTAATTTTCATAGATAAATTGCTGGGTATTGAGCGGCTACACTGTCAACATCTTATTTGCTACGCTTTGGAAGCGAAAAATATAATTTTGTTTGGTTACTTATAAATAAATATAAAATATAATATATATATATAAATAATAATAATATATAAATACTTACCACCGTATTCAAGTCAATAACCCATAAACAGGTGCTGTTAAAAGGAACCAATTATTCATCCGATGGATGAAATATTTCCAAATACATTTTTATTGTATATTTATTGACACAAATTACTGTTAGATAACTTGGGCGCGGGAAGGAAAGCATTATTTACCTGCTCTTTTTATTATATTATCAAACAGGCGAGACGGTTAAACTAAAATATACATTTTTATATTATAGACGGCAAAGTTTCCCGCAGTTTGTGGGCGTGACCGTATGATAGTTCCTGAGATCTCAATGATTTCAGCTTTTGCTGTTTTGTTGTCGTAGATAAAGCGTGGCCGGGTGATGAATCCTAAGATTCTAGCTCTTATAGTTACCGACATCTAACCATTTTTAGATTTCCGCGTATTTTGGGAGTTAGAGTGGGCTCGTCCAGATGGAAAAAAAATATACTTCAGTGGCATGCTTAATCCCATCTTTCTATCACTTAAAGTTCCTGAAATCTGAGCGATCTTAGTTTCTCAGCGCTCAGACGAACAAACTGACAGACAGACTCGATTCAAGAATATAAATACTTTAAAGGGCGAGAAAAGCTTCCTTTTGACTGCTACATACTTTTTAACAAATTTAGTAAATCGCCTATCTTTCGTATCCCATAATGGTAAGTTGTTTTAGCTTTCTTTTAAAGAGAAATTCTCAAATATAAAATTAAAGTGATACAATTAGAACACATTGTAGCGTAGGATATCCCTTTTATTTTCGTTATGAAAAAGTTTAAGCAATGACAAACTCAATAAATATTCCTTAGAGAGTGATATTAAAACAAGCCTATCGAGAAACACTTACATAGACTTAAGAAACTTATATAGATATAAATTTATGTTAAATATAATTTTTTTATTTTTAGCATAGCAAAGCTGCAAACACAACGCCTTTGGAACACCAAGGAAATTCCGATTGCTTGAAAATAAAAACGTATGAACCATTACTACCCGTATGGCTGGCAATTATCATCATTGTCACATGCTTATCCTTCTCAGCTTTATTTTCTGGGCTTAACTTGGGTTTAATGTCAATGGACCGCACAGAATTAAAGGTGATAAACGTAAACGTTAGTGAGAATTATTATTTACATTGTAAAATACTAGATTCTGCGAAACACCGGCACAGAAAAAGAAAAAAAATATGCGTCGAAGATTGCCCCAGTTCGAGATCAAGGTAATTATCTTTTGTGCAGTATTCTGTTGGGTAATGTGTTGGTTAACTCAACCTTTACCATTCTGCTGGATGGATTAACTTCTGGACTTTTTGCGGTTATATTTTCCACATTGGCCATCGTACTATTTGGTGAAATTACGCCACAGGTAAGCTTACAATCAAGATCCCATAACAGCTATATGTAAAATCGTATATATTGTATTCGTTCAAAAGTATGCAACATATATATATATATATATATATATATATTCATATATATATATTTGATTAACCAACAGTCAAGTCGATTAAGACATGTCTACCTGTCTGTCCGTCTGTACGAACGCTAAGATCTCAGGAACTATAAGAGATACAAAGTTCGGATTAAGCATGCTGATACCTACGCAGAGCAAATATTTTCACAGTTCATAAAGAAATGGAAGTTATAAGGACTATTTACTTTTTGACAATAGGTGTCGCTGCGTCAATTTTTAAATATATTAAAATTGAATTAAATATATTAAATTTATATATAAATATATTATTGGGTAAGACAGTCACTGCTATCTTATTTATAGTCGTGGGGCTCGACTATAGCGCTTCTTCTTGATTTATGTTATGTTTTTTTTATCGAAAGAAATTCATATTTTTGTATAAAAATTATATGAAAATGAATGAGAACCTACGAATGAAATCGTGCTTTAATAATGTTAATATTTTTACCTATCCGAACATCGAAATTACAGGTAATTAAAGATAAACAGGGAGCTTTAGGTGGGGGGATAAGTGCCCAAAATTTTTATTGCAATTGCAATTGAAATTGCGATGATTTAAAATCATTGCTTTTTATAAATAAGCGTCAAATAATACCGGTCTGTCGGAACTAAGTGATCCCTGTATTAACTCCGAACCTTTGCGATTTTCCCCTCTAAGTGTAGAGTCATAGGTTTGGTAAGTTTTTCAGAATTTCGAACAAAATTCTGTAGTATATTTGTTATTTAAAAAAAAAATGTTAAATTTTTGATCTTTATTGAGTCGTTTTACTCTAGTGAGAATGGCGATGTGTATTTATGTGTGGTTTTATTTATATTTCATTTAAGTTTATATTATATTGCTTAAGTAACTTATAATTATGTTACACTATTTAATCTGAATCGGCGTCGCGTCTTAGTTGCTCCTCATGAGCACGTCTTTTCTTCGTCAAGTCATCGCGATCCTTATGTCGGTAGCTTCGTTCTTCTCGTCGTCGTCTTCCTCGTCTGCGTCTTATCGTGTCCTTCGCCAGATGGTCAGTTGTTTACTTGGGTTCTACTTCGTTATCAGGGTCTTCATCTGTTCTTCTAAACAATTCTAACATTTATATTCTGGTCAAACACTCAACTTATTTGTTGTTGGATGCCTTCCCCTTCGTGTGGCCAAGCCTAAAAGAGCTAGAAAATACGTGTTTTTCGTCAGTTGTGTTTATATATATATAACATAAGAATTTTTTTTTATAAAGTTGGAAAAGCTCATACTGTGTTTATTCGACCAATTTCATATATTCAAGTCTAGAATCGTTAGACAAAACACTGATGGGAGTGAAGTCGTTCTCATTAAACTTTTTTACATTAAAGAAGAAGTTGATTTTCAATATACTTTAAAACTCGGCTATCGAAACGAACGGCAAGTGCGTTTGAAAGGAAGTTCTTTTTCACGCTACAACAGAAAAGGTGAGAGAAGAGCGCCGGCCGAATTCTCCTGAGCAAAAACAATTTTTTAGGTCCTGGCCCCCTCTTTACATGACAAAAATTCCATATCTGCGCAAACACACCCCCTCTGAAGGGAAGACGTCCTTCAGGACAGCGCTAGTCCGATAGGCCTTGAGTTTTGTACCGCATCCACGCTGACGATGACAGTTCCGAGGCTGAACCAAAGCTGCGTCGAAAACAGCGCCTGTTGATTAGTGGGGCCCGCCATTAAGGTGTCATTCAACTCTCGATCGAAAAGAACGATAGCAGACGGCACGTGCAGTCGTAAGGGAGTTCTTTTTGTAACTAATTTATTTCTTCTGATTTCGCTTACATGCAACGACAAAAAAGATGAGAAGGAGAGCGGCGGACGATTTCGGCTGGGCTTTATTAGGTCCCGCTCCCCTCTTTACTTGAAAAAATTACATATCTAAGGGAAAAACGAAGAAAAGCTTTTGGGTCTTTGTTGGTAAAGAAGCTGATATATTTCAGAAGACTACATTTATTTTATGCATTATAAAATCCAACAGTTATGAAGAAATCATCTTCAAAAATAAATAAACAGAAAGCCTTTGCAATGTGCTATACACGTGTTCTACCTGCATTGGAGACAGTGTAGAGAAGGTGCGATTGAGATACTAACTTTAATGTTATTGTTCAGCGAATCTGATATCGTTTAGTTATTTAATGCTTAAGCGTTTTCAAATATATTTATTTTGTCTTGAAAAAAATCACGATTTAAAGCTGACTTTAGATCTTCAATAGATCTCGGGGTCACGAAGAATTTGTCAATAGTGAAAAAATGGCTTGACAGTTTCTGGTTCATGCAAAACGTTGTGGAACCTCCACCCTCTATCATTGCGAGTGTATGCAAACATCAGTGAAAGGCTTGAACACCGTTATAACCTCTTCCAGCTCATCGAAAAGGGCATCTATACATACAAAACTGCCAGTAGGTTATCTTTGCAAAATATTTCCGCATTGGGTTCAACAATGCGCGTTTTCCACCTTTTAATCTTTGCATTAGGATTGGACTCCGATTCTTCGAAGGTTAAAATATGATGGTCAGTAAAGATGTATATACTTTTAACACAATACAGATGTTGCCTTAGCTATTTCAAACGGCTTTTGAAGTCAGGATATCTGAGCATGACATTCAAATCAGTTGCTAATAATCATCGATCTGTTATTGGTTATTGAAATAGGTCTGCGGCTATTAAGAAATTAAGTTGCAAAGCCGGTAGACCGGAGTTTATTGTTCTGGTTTTGGACAGTTAAAGAAGTTTGAATACCCGCCCTCCTGCGGATACTGGCCTCGCCATCTGTCTCGCATCCTTAAACACCCTCTATCGAACGCAGCATCCGCTTTCGAATCCGCGGCACCAAAAAGACGACAGCTTTCTACGATGAGCATCAGCGAAGGGAGTGGCCACGGTAGTGGGATTCGGAATCCAAATCGGAACGAAAATGGAGATGGGATTCTCAGCCTGATGCAGGACCTGCAAAACAAGAACAACTTCCTCGAGAATTTGTTTAGCAAGTTCTGAAAGTCCATTATCAAGACGAATTCCAATCTCAAATTGCAACTGAGTAAAGTCAAAAGGAAGAATGCCAAGGCAAAGCCCGGTTGTGCCTACCAATAAACGGAGATTGAACAGGTGGTCAACTTAATTACTCTCGGGATTTGGATATTGATTTGCGCTTATCCAGTGCCAGGTTTCCAGGCACCCGCTCCTTTGCTCACGCTCGAGAACCAAGCCACTCGGCCATACTTTTCTGCATAGAATTGATCATTTGGCTAATGCAATGCTTACCAGCAGCTCTTTCATGATACGTTCTTCTACCTGGTAATATGTCTGGCCCCAGCTCTAGTTGTTGTGTTCACTGGCCACCACTTCCATGGGATGCTGCAGCTGAAATTCGGCGGCGCTTTCTATATCGTGAGCATCGTATTCTTCAAGGTGGACGGAATGATACCGATGGCTCATGCCACTTGGCATGATATAAAAACATATATATATTAGGTTGTCAAAAAAAGTCTTGCGGTATTTTTATTGAATTTTTAATTGTTCATAAAATTGGTTACAATAATGCGATTCAAGTCAAATATGCGCCGTTTTGTTCGATGACTCGTTCCCAACGAGATGCCAACTTCATAATGCCCCTCTCATAGAAGCTCGCTTCCCAATTGGCAAAAAACTCGGAGAGCCAATTTTCACAGAACTCTCTTGTGGCCAACTTCAGATTACCAAGCGCGTTCGCCATGGACAGATACAGGTGGTAATCACCCGGTGCAGTTCCGGACTATACGGTGGATGCAAAAGAACCTCCCACACACAGAAGAACCTTCCTGGCCGTCAATCCAGGCTTGGCCCCCGTCTGGGCCGTTTCGCCGCTTTCGACCACGACCGTTTGCGCCTTACGTTATCGTAAGTGACCCACTTTTCATCGCCAGTCACCATACTCTTCAAAAACGCGCGTTGATTTTGTTGCGATTTAGAAGCCATTCGCATGCGTCAATACGGTCAAAGATGTTTTTTTGCGTCAATTCGTGTGGCACCAATACATCGAGCTTCTTAGTGACTCCAAGCTTCTTCAAATGGTTTATATCGGTTTAATGACTCATGCCCATCTCTTGACCGATGCTACGGCTGCTACTATGCCGGTCTCTTTCGATCAATTTAGCCTTCCGGAGCTTGGCGCATCTTCGACCACTTCTACACCAGAACGAATACGTTGATACCATCGTTGTGTGGTGGAAATGGAAACTGTATCGGGTCCATAAACTGCACAAATTTTATTGGCGGCTTGAGATGCATTTTTTTTTTTTTCGCGACTCCCGTTGCTTAACGTGCAACCCACCTCCCGCCCAACCGACCGAGGCGCCGCCGTTTATCGTACGGCTCGGAACACGGGGATAGTACCGAGTGGAATATTAAATAAATAAATAAATTAAATATGAGCTAAGTGGTTTAGTAAGACGATTTTTATGTTAGTAGGAGAAGTATTGGATATAACGTTGTAGAGGGTATTGTAACTCGAACATAATACCCTAAATGGTTCATGAAGGGCAAAGTTCGAGCTGCAATGACTCAAGGATAAGGGAATATAGTTTCTAGTGGGTCTAGCGGGCACATTGATGTTTAAGCGACCTAATAGGCTTGACTATCAATGTCCCCACTAATAAGATTGTTAATAAAAACAACGCCAAGCATTGTCCTACGGTTAGCAAGGGTAGGTAAGTTTATTAGTAATAGTCTGCTTTTATAGGAGGGAAGATTTAAGTTTGCATCCCAATTTTGGCCACGAAGAGCAAATAAGAGAAAGGTTTTTGAATTGATTCTAAACGGTCTTGGTGGACCGCGTACTGGGGGTTCCAGACGCAAGATCCATACTCTTTAAGATCGGACGAACGAGAGAGACAAATAAAGTTTTGGTTACGTAAGGGTCATTAAATTCTTTCGACCATCTTTTATAAA